CACCACACTAATGCTCCAATTTCAGCAGCATAATTTTTAATTGTTTCATAATCATTAGGTGTATTTATATTACTATATAACACACCATCTGTGTATGTTAGTCGATTTCTTTCATTTTCCCATAAATAAATTTGATCAATTACAGTTTGCGGCATTCCACATTCTTGCATCTGTGGATGTGTATGTACAGTAAGAAATCTCACTATTTGTGCAGCAGTAATGCCGCTCCGTAATGCTGTTCGAACTGAATCTCTTGTTAGTATACCAGCAGCCATATTTGGAAATCTAAAACAGCAAATAGTATAATATATATTTTAACTATTAACTATTATTATAATAAGTATTACCTGTAAAGCATATGAGTAAATAATGCAACTAAGGCAACTTTTAGATCAGAATCAGTCATTGCATATATCCGAAAATTGGTTTCTACAACTATATAACGTTCTTTATTTTTCATTCGTTCTGAAGTACGGCTATTTCCTTGCCCCATTTCAATTACTAATCGAGTAGGATAAAAACGTCCAGCCTTACGTCTCCTTTGGTAAACCAATCCAAATTCTCGTAGATGTTGTAAAAACGCTTGAAGGTTTTCAGACATTTCATCTGTTATGTAATCCCATCCTAAAGTACCAAGATGGATTTGAAAGAGGAATGTCAGACATTGAGCAAGATCAAGACCCCTCGATTCAACTGTTTCCATATAGCGCAGCATGAAATACCAAACTTGAGTGGCCATGTCCAGTAGAAGAAACTGAAATCCTGTTGAAGTAATTACTGGACTATCATCCGTGTCTCTGACCTAAAATATAATGTCATTGCAAAGTACCTGATAGAATTATATTGTAATGATTGCACTTGTTACTTACCATGAGACCTGCGTTTAGTAACACTCTGACTGCATCTGACGATATACCTTCATGTTTAGAACCAACCATATAATGTAATATGCATTCCCATCGTTCATACGCATATGAATCTAAAAAGTCTATATCTCTTGCTTTCGGATCAGCCGCCATATCGCTGTTGGGTACTGTAGAGCGGCCACCGCCCATGAGTGCCACTTTGAGTTTCTTCTTGAACGTAGAATTCAGAATCCATCCTTTGAGGCCACCAGACACACCGGTTAACTTCCATATGTGTAAATTAGTGGCTACGTCTATAGATTCGTCAAGTTCACTGGAATAATTGGCCGGCACCCAGGACGAAAGTACTGATTGCGGAACTGGCTGTTCGATGAACAAAATACGTAAAGTGAACTGTTGAGCAATATCGGGTAAAACTCTAAACACTGTCAAGCAAGTCGGCGGATGACTGTAAAGCCGATCTTGGACGGCTTCTGGAAGTTTTATGAGGTATTCGTATAATGTCAAGACCTTCAGTATTTTAGAACCGTCATCTTTACGCAAATTCTTCCGCTTCTCCTTGCTAGTACTTGGTTCTTTGGACATAACTGTACTCAATTTATAAATCTATCGATTTGTTTCGAGTAATTGCATTATTTTAAGGTCTCAGACCATAGTGCCCTGTACAATATTAAACACCAAATAAACATTAATTAAACATAAAAATATAACTAAATCATATTTGTATTTATTATTTAAATTTTAAAAAGATGTTTTGAAATTTTATTTACTAAAAACTAATTTAAAAAATGGTCATATCAGTCAACATAACCTCCAAAATCTTTGAAACTAACATAGCTGATAATAATATTATTTTTGTATATATGTGTTTTACATACATTATCTATGGAAGTGATAGTGTGTCATTTCATAAATATTTTATATTTGAAACTTGAAAGCATGAACTAATGGTACTATGGTAGTCCACGCTTGATCGCTTTAATACAAAACGCTTGTTAAAACCAAGTTCAAAGCTGAAAATTACCAAATACCTAGTAAGTAAGAATTGATTCAAATTAATGCAACAAAATAAATGTTATGATTATGGAGTTCATTTATAAAATCATATTTTAAATAATCATTATTAACAGATGTCTGTTTTATTTCTTATAGAATTAAACAACTGCTGAGCCAATAAATGGAACTATAAGTTGAAATGGATAAACGGTCAAAAAATATGCCCAAATTTGGGGCAGCAAAACTTTCGTTTACACCAAATTTAGGATTTAAAAGGTTAATTATTTATTTTACTGAGAAATTTTCTAAAATTATGAGTTCCAATTCTGGTAAGCCCTTAAATTGTCCTCAATATTACAGGCCAATAAGACTACTTCTATACTTTTCTCGAGTAGCTGAATGTCTGAAGATCATTTTACCATCCATTGAAAGAACTTCCCCTCATTCCTAATTTGGGTTAAGGAACAAAAGCCATAACACACAAATCCACAGATTAGTTGATAAAATATTCTAAAAAAAAAAAATGTCTGAACAAGTGTTTTCCTAGATATGGAGCGAGCACATAATAAATTGTATTTATATATTCTAAGGTACAGGTAATTGAGTACCAGGTATAGCATCCAGTTCGGTTACTCAAGTTAAAATATTTATTTCCAATGTCAAACTTTCTTCTAATCAACATGTGTATAAAGGGAAAGGAACAATATTTCTCCGTTTGCCTGAGAACTTTTCTCTCTCATTACCAAAATTGAAGAATGTGTTTCTCAAGGAACAGTAATTGAATAGTAAAATAAGTAGGCTCTAACCAATACATTGCTAATCTGTCCACATCTCCTAACACTGTTATTGGGAACTTCGCTGCTAGGTTGAAACCTAACCTTACCAATGAATAATTCTCTCACCTACAAACTATCACTATACTTGATAAATATTAAACATTAATATTATATATTTATGTTATAGTAATAACAGATATGAAAAATTGTATTTAAAAAAAAAAATTGACCTTTATATAGTCAAAAGTATATTGAACATTACGTTTTTCTCCAGAAATGTAGCCAAGGGGTCAGATCAACTAGCTAAAGTAGAAGTCAAAGTTGAACATGACGCTAATTCAAGTGCCCAATTATTGTCAGCACAAAAACAAAAAAAAACTAAAGAAAGATCTACAACACAGGTTTATATCTGACTTAAGAATTAAATGTTATTAATATTGTTAGTTGTTACTTTATATTATAAAATAATTATCTTTAATTTTGTATATAAAAATTACTTTTTTTTAAATCAAATTTTAAGTAGCCAACAGATCAATCATAAAATATACAAAATAATTTTTTTGAAAAAAAAAATATTATATTTAATCATTAATATTATTTGTTATTTAGAATAATTATATTAGGTTCTATTTTTAGATACAAAGTGTATTTTCTAACATGAGTTCAACAAGCCAGGGTAGATCAGGTCCATCACGCATGGGATTATCATCTGGTTTTCGATCTTATTCAAATCTTGGCAGTTTCAATAGTTCAGGATCTTATGTGAGTATTATAGTTATATTTGGTTTGTATTGAGTATTTTGATGTTGGAGTATCTATTCAAATTGATTTAGGTGAAAAAAGAAGCTTGTCAAAGCATACAACAAATGCAAATGATAGAAAATGCTCAATTTGATATTGATGACCCGATAGATGAGCCTCATGGACCAATTCGATTACCCTTCTTCAAAAAAGGTACTAAAAAATGAACTAATATTTACTTGGAAATTATGTAATAGTATTTGTTTTAGACAGGGTACCACAAATTAAGACTGAAATGAGCTTAGAATATCCATTCCAGAAGAATATTTATCCTTCATTAAGTGAATTAATTTCTCCTGAATTATTAATTACTTTACAGGTTATTACTACTTGATTTACCAAAATATTTTATATTTAAAGACATTGATTAAAAATTAAAGTTGATTGATCAGGCAACTTGATAATAAAATCACTAGTAGTTGCCCCTGGAGCAAAGTTATCTATGCTCTATAGGCACAAACTAAAATAGAATGGACTGGTAACCAGAGTCATATTATGTTTAAAGAAGAGTCTTGTGTGGTGAGGGAGCTTGGGGGACAGCATGTATCTATCAAGCGATTCCTTCAGTTGCGTACTAGTGTGTATCTTAAAAAAAAATTGGTGTTGCTCAAATAATTTTAGGTGACTTACCCCTCATTATACTGTTATACTGGCCTATTAAATGTCCTACTTTCGTTCTATCAATACCCACGCATTCATATTTAAGGTGTTGCCTGAGCAACTCTTGGACCCTATGTTACGCTACTGGGTACCTATGTTTATCATCTAGCTTGTATGATGAATACAAGCAGCTCAATATAAAACATAGGTATATTCCCCCTACAAGACTTCTAAGCCTTAAGCTCCGCTTCGCCCGCCTGCCAGTTTATGTCCAGTCCATTCCATCTTAGTCTGTGTGAAAGTAAAGTGATATTAACAATTTTTTATCAAACTCACCTTTTATTTTACAGAATGTATTCTATTGCAGTGAGCCATCTTATTATAACCTATAATTAATTGAAATTGTATAATAATTGTTTGACTTTATTAGTTCTATGACAGTTCATTTAGTATTCAACCAAAGATTGCAAATATTGATTTAGGAGAAAATAATGATAATGATGTAATGCCCTTAAAATTAAAATCAGAAGTACCTATAAAAATGGAATATAATGGCCATTTAAAAACTGAAGTAAATATTAAGATATTAATAATGGCTAATATGAATATTGCAAATCATGTTAATGTTTAATTTCAGAATGATACAGAAGCTGTTTTTAAGTCCAAACCAATAGGTAAACTTCAATATTTTAGATCGGGACGTGTTGTTTTAATTTTTAATGAAAAAAAATATGAATTATTAAAAGCAACTGAGGATAAACATCACAAGGTGACTTGATTTATTTGTAATATTAAAATTTCAGTTTATGATATTGAAATTTTTCTAGGAATTATTTAGTCTAACCAAAATTGAAGAAGCTGAAAGACCTGATAAACTAGTGAGTTTAGGAACAGTACCTCGACGACTAAAAGCTGTTTTAAGTATTGATAATATAATTGAGCACTTTATGACAAATAGTAATTAATATACAATTTTTTTTTATTAATGTACAACAAAAAAAATAATAATCATACTTAAATAAAGGATTACAATGTATCATAATCTTCCAACACATTTTTTAAATGTTCATTATCCCTTGGTCTCTTAGAGAATCTTTTCTTTGTCACTGGTTTTTTCCGTTTTACATGATTTACTTTTTTGATACCATTATCTTGCATCGAACTTATACCCTAAATAATATTTTATGTATAACATCAGTATTTTGTTTTAAAATATTGGTTTTGTAGTAAACATACCTGTTTCTCCAAATGTTCCTCTATCTTTTCATCATCCATATTTTCCACTGCAATACTCCTCCACATTTTTTTAAAATCTTCATTAATATCAATAGTTGCAGATTTATCGTTGTAAAACATGACTTTTTTTTTATCCCCGGGCCGACAAACATATAATATTTCATTTTGTAAATGCTGTTGTAAAAATAAGTATAATATATTAATAGTGAAATATTTTTTATAAATAAAATGTACAACAGAATTTTTATAATTCATTTCTAGTTTTTACCTTAAGAGCTTTTTCACAGTTAGGTAATGATTCTTGAATATCGTCCATCATAATTCCTCCTAAACCTTTCAAATCTTGTTGTTTTAATAACTTCAACAGAGCTTTTCTGTCTTTAAGTTTATAAGGAGGCTTGAACATATATTTTCCATCTGGTGTACGTTCAATTTTTGGATTTCCTGGTAGTGCTTCAGTTTCTAACCACTTGATAATAATAATAATAAACATAAAAATTATGATATAAATTTGATTTTTAATTTTTGATATGAATATATAATAAATCAATAACATAAGTACCGTTTTAACTTTAGCTCCCACATCTAATTGATTAGTTTCATCCAACAATTCATCTAATGTTAACGGATGATCATCTCCATCCTGATGTCGAGCTCTAATATACTTAACTATTTTAGTGAGAACACCAAATTTATACTGAGAACTTTGCCCATACGACTTGTAGCTACTATAGTGTTAAATAAAAGTTTAAGTTATTAAAATTACGTTGAATAAATCTATATGAAACAGTTCATACTTCAATGAACTAGAAGTATTTGGGGGCGAAGGTGGCCTTGGCATAGATGGTAATGGTTTTGATTTCCTTTTAAACTCATCTTTGTTGCTATTGTCTTCTCTTAACCTTTTTTCAACTCTACAATGGAAACACAATGTAATCAGTTTATAGTTACTGTAAAATTATTATTTGAATAACATAACATGATATAGTAATGCACTTACACAGGAATAGCTGAAGCTTTAAGTTTGAATAATTCTCTTTCTCTCAACAAAGCAGGATCCATGTTTACTTAGATATATGCAACTGAATCTAATTAAAAAGTTTTTATTAAGTACATTATTGTTTGGATTTTTTTGATAAAATGTATCATACAGGTTATACATTATTTATGTTTGAATTACATCACATTATTCAAGGTGTTAATATTACAAATTATTACTATATTATTATTTGTAGGTTAATTGTTTTAAGATTCCAGAAGTAAGTTTGGCAATAGTTGTGTGTAAATTATGGTACTGACCATGGTCAGGCATATGGACACAGTGATTATTTTGTGTGATTCTAAACAATCAAAACAAAAAATGCTTACTTTATTTCCAGCTAAATTGATCCACCAGAAGTTAATAATTACACATAAATAAGAATTGATGACTCAGTAATACAACAGTTTTTCAAATTCAAATTACAGAAAAATAATAATGAACTAGATATTCTTGAAAAAGAATATACATTTTCATAGCATATAAACTACGTTGATTTGGAAAAAAGATTACTTCCTCTACCTATTTTTTGAACATAATAAAATATAATTTTTATTTTGTATATTAATAGAGCTCATTTATTACTTGAGAAATTAAGTATATTATGATAGTGTTATTGTATTATACAGAATACAGATTAAAAATTGAGAGTACAAATATTAAATATTGTTGTTTTCATTTTAGTATTTACTATTTATTATTCGTTTAATGATATAAGTTGAAACTTTTTGTAGATAAGATAGAAATTTATCAAATTTCTCCCTGGTAACACTGCGGTGGAACACGAGAGGGGGCACATCTTCCAAAATATTCATTATCTACTAGACAAGCTATGAGTGTATGGAAAGCTAAACAACATAGTCACATAGAGGGCGCTCTATGATTACTCGATTATACCCGTACGAATCATTGTAGCGCGGGGTAGCAGGGTAAGATACTAACTCAGTAATGCCTGGTTGCATGAAAAATGTATTAATTTAACGGTCCAATAAAATTTAATGGACCAATTATGGAATATGGGCCACTAAATCATGTTTAAAGGATCATTAGCTCACTATTATGGATTCGTTAAATGTTTAGTGCATGGCTAAATAACTTATTTAGTGATTGTCCATGCAACCCGACATAAGGTATTTATATATTATACTCGTAGTATGGTTATTGTATTTTTCATAAGGATAGTAACATCACTGCGAAATGTGGTTGTTACGCGGCTCGTAATGCTATTGTCTTAGATTATAATATACAAGTAGTACTAATAGTACTAATAATAGTAGTAGTTTATGATCTAAGACACAAGTT